ACAAGCAGTCTCCTCGGGTAATCCCCCCATCAGAGCCTCCCTTCTCAGAGGGTCCCCAGCAGGGAGAGCCCCGCACCCCTGCCTCACCACAGCCATGGGTCCTGTCCCTCCTTGCTTTGGCCGCCCCTGCCGCACCAGGGTCACCTCCCAACGCGAACCAGCAGGGAGGAAGCGCTGGTTCTTGGGACACCGCTGAGGCCGCGGGACTCACGTGCAGGGCCTGGACAGAGACACCCACAGACCCTTGCTCAGGACACAGGGTGGCAAGTGACTGGGGGCACTTTGCACAGTGTGGGGGCAGTGAAGGGGTGCCCGCCCGGTTAGGGGCGGCCGTGGGGCACAGAAAGGTCGAACTGGGTCTCCACGCAAGGAGCAATAAACAAGGGTGGAGAGGAAGTGGGGGTGACAGGCGGAGGAGCAGGTTCAAAGGCCAGGAAGCGGGGCGCCGAGCTCGGCTCTGCCTGGCCCAGGCTGGAGGTGAAGGTTGTGGTGTGAACCTCACCAGCTGAATCTGGGAAAGAAGGGGGGCTAGTCAAAAGCACCTCCAGTCTTACCAGAGGGGGTCCCCAACTCTGCCCACTCCCGGGCCACGCCCCCAGTGCGGTGAGAGTCTGGGGACTTCAGGACACTTTAGTGTCCCTTCAGGACACTTTGCTGCAGGTGATCTTGACTGGGGTGGCTGGAGGGAGGTCAGCACCTGTGTCCAGCAGGGAGGACCTCGGGGGAGAGCTGAGCAGACCCCGGGCCAGGCGGGATGGAAGGACCCGGAGCAGGCGGGGTACGGGGGTGGTGCTGTTGGGCTGGCCCGCCTGGCCCTGCCTGCGTCTAGAACTCAGAGCAGAGCTGCCGCTGGCTGGCTCCGAGCTGGCTGGCTTGGCGTCGTGGCTGTTGTCTAAGTCTTTGCAAACCCATCTGGTCTAAAACCTTGTCGGGATCAGTGTCAATATCACCACATGGACATTTCTAGAGACCATCTTGCAAAATATTGGATACTCGTGCATCTCCCTTTCCTTTGCACCGTGTATTAGGATTGCTGAAGAGGGTCCCCCAAGCAGCACCCCTGTTTCTCCCAGGCAGTGAGTAAGTCGGGAGCAGGTCACAACCAAGCGAGGGTGTCACCATCGGCACCGGGGCCTGAGCGGCCGACTTGACCCGGCGTCTCTTGGCCAAGTGGGTCAGTTCACGCTCGCTGAGCCTAAGCTGCACAGACCTGGCACCAGGCGCGGCAGTTCCCTCCAATCACGCCCACCAGCTCTCCTGAGCTTGCCAGGGCCTCACCCCTGCCTGGGGCACAGGAGGCTGGGTCACAGCAGTGGGGGAGCCACGGGCAGGAGAAGCTCTCCCAGGGTACCCCTGCTCTGCGCCCCAGTGCTGAGCATGAGCAGGGGTGCTGAGGCCGTGTTCCCCCGCTGGCCTGAGAGCTGGCCCCGAGGAAGTCTGTCTTCGTCCCCTGGCCACGCCGCCAGGCCGGCGCTGTGGAGCACCCTGCTTCTGCGCTGCCGGTTCCGGCGAGGAAAGCAGGAGCAACTCGGGGCAGGACCAGAGGGACCTGGCGTGAGGGGCTCAGCGCGTCCTGAGCTGCTCTGGCCCCCACACTCCTGGTGCCACCCAGGTGGGCGCGAGGAGACCTGACTCTGTCCCCAGTGGGCATGCGGCCTTGAGCCACCCTCAGCCTGGGAGCTCGGGGGAGCTGGAGACACAGGAGAGTCCGGGTGCTTGTTTTCACCCCCGCCTGCCCCGGCACACCTGGCACTCCCAGCCTGGAGGGGCCCCGCCCGGACCGGTTCCTCCACCTGCGGTTTTTTTGATCATGAATTTTTCAAAAGCAGCTTCCGAAATCCCTTAAGCCAGGTTTCTCCCCTGAGAGCAGCAGTTCTGGGGACGGCAGGGGTCGCGAGAATCCCAGAATCCCAGAGTCCCAGAGTCCCCAGGGCGCTCGTGGCCAACGCAGCTGTTGGGCTCTCCTGGGACGGAGCTTCCTGCTCGCCGCGCACCTGTGTTAGCTGCCACCAGGGCGCTCATGCCGAGACAGGAGGCAGAGCCTTGGGCCGGCCCAGAGGAGGAAGGCAGAGCCCGTCTCTGGTCAGGGTCAGGCCCCTGTGCTCCTATGGCGTCTGGGAGGTGGGTCCCCACGCTGCTCCACCTGGGCTGCTCAGCGCCGTCCTGGAGAGCCACCCGCCTGTGCCAGCGCCCTCCCCGCAGAATTCGGGTCAGACCCTGATGGGGCAGAGTTCACCGTATGTCGGGGAAGTCCCGTGTCTGGGGTCAGGGGTTTGGCCCAGATCAGGACTCGGAACATGACCAGCACCAGGACCCGCAGCCTTCCTTGTCTCTAGCCCAGGCCCCTCCACAGGCAGCTGAGTGCCCCCCCCCCCCAGCGGCACAGGGGCCCCTGTTCTCGTTCCTGCTGGGAGCCGCCCACCGTCTGCCTGCCTGGTGAGGGCACATGGGGCTGGCTCCCGGCTGGCGCAGTCCTCCCCAAGCACACCCCCCACATGCACCCTCCAAGCTACGCGGACGGCACCACTGAGTTCTTTCATATAGCACCTGCTTAGAATTTGGAAGAATCTCCCACAGCCGAGGTTTTGGGGTAGCCTTTATGGCCATCCAGTGCGAGATGCTTTAGGACAGGGAGGCCCCCACAGCAAGATCAAACAGAACAATACATCACAGCTCCACTTTTGACGAACATGGAGTAATAGGGACTGGACTGCCCGTGAAGCAATGGAATTCCAGACAAAGCATAAGAGAGAAACATTGTCCAACAGTGAACACCAGGTGCACAGCAGGATGGCCATGCGATGAGAAGGGAGGAAGGCAGACGAGGGTCTCCTCAGCTGAGGTGAGGGGCCGGGCGTGCAGGGGAGACAGGTGGTTGGGACGGGGGCAGATGCCAGAGGAGAAGCTGTGCAGACAGAGCCCGAGTCTTCGGCCACATGCTGATGAAACACGAGTGCGAGGAACTTCCTGAGGCCGAAGAACCCCCTGGAAGGACGGGGAAGGTGGGGCATCCCTGGAGCTCACGCAGTCGCACGCTAACCAAGGGGCAGAGGGCAGAAGCATGTGCTTGCCTCAGTGCCGGAGCACTATTAACCTGAGAATAAACTCGGCTCGGATCCCACTTCACACAGTTTAGAAGCAAAATCTGAGGACATTTGCGGGGACGTAGAAATACCCAGTAAGTGAGCCCCACAATGTCTGTGGCCTAACACGACATGACCAGCTATGCCCCCAAATGAGGAGAAAAGAAAGAAATTGAAGCCAATTCACAAATAGAACAGGTGACAATATACCTGGAGGTAAAAAAAAAAAGGAAAAAAAAAAAGGTGGTCATAACTCTATTCCACCTGTTCAAGAAGTGAGAGCAAAGACAGAAAATACTGAGACAGAAGATAGAAATTAGCCCCAAGTGAAAAGTTCGACAGGTGAAATCTACTCCAGCTGGTTCATGGTAGATCAGACGATGCAGGAAAAAAAAGCTTAGTGAACTCAAAGCATAGCAATAGGAACTGTCTGAAATGAAACAGGGAGAGGGAGAAAAAAAAAGGACAAATGTAGAGCAATATGATCTCTGGGACAATTTCAAATAGTCTAACAAATTTGAGTCTTGAAGAAGAGGTAAGAGGGAGGAAAAATAAAGGAAATAGTGAAAAATTTCCAACTATAAAAACTAAGATTCAAACATCCAAGATATTAAATTAACCCGAGTGTGCATGTCAGCACACGAGCGCACACACACAGGTGTACATGCACACAAGCATGTACACACATGGACACAGGTGTGTACACACGGACACACACACACAGGCATGTGTGCACACAGGTGAATGCGTGCATGCACAGACACACATGCACACAGGCGCAGACACAGGTGCACACGCACAGCATGGTAAGGCATCATCATATCATAAAACTGGTAAGAAAGAGAAAAATTCAAAAGCAGAGTAAAAATGATACATTATGAGTAGGGGAACAAAGAGAAGGAAGCAGATTTCTCCTTGGAAACAATTCCAGTTAGCACCAGGGAAGGAACAGTGTTCAACTGCTGAAAGAAAAGGATACCCATCTGGAATTCTTTACCCAGCAAAACTATCTTCCAAAATTGGCAAAATACTCTTTAGACGAGCTGAGAGAATTCAGACCTACCTGTAAGACAGGACTGCCAGTGTCCTCCAGGCAGGACACAGTGACACCGCATGCAGGCCTCTGGAGCCACAGCGGACCGGCAGAGCTCAGGGTGGAAGCTTGCACAGGTAGGTATTAATTACACCTCTCCACAATTTTAATTCACTTCTTAAAGCAAAGATAGTGGCAATGTGTTATGTGTTTTACTGTACATGGGAGGGGAGTGACAGCCACAGCACAGCCTGGCAAGGGGAAAGCCCAGCGGCCGCCTGCAGCATGTGGGTGGTGGGGACCTCACCAGAGGACTAGGGGAAGGTGGGGTGCGCACCACAGCCCCACAGCACCACTGCTGTGACAGAGCAGTTACGGCTGTTTAGCCCACAGAGACAGGCGAGAAAGGGAATCATAAAAGAAACCACCGCGTTGTCGCCAGATTTCTTTGCTGTTTATGCAGTGCTGAACCGGCCCCTCCCACCTGCCTGTCACGCCGAGGAATAATGACGAGGGGCTTGGGGAATGGACTCTGTCCACTGCCCTGCTGAAATGTCAGCGGGGGGCTGAACCCCCGCTTTTAAGCACTGGCCTCCAGTTCACGTGTGAAAGGGCCAATTCGAACAGTGAAGGAAAAGACAGACAAGCAAAGACTGGCTTCTGCGACTGCAGCCACTGAACGACCCCGTGCTGTCCCTGCAAGGGACACTTTGCTGCCAACCCACTGCCACCGGGTGCCCGGGACGGCCGGGAACCCACCCCGCGCAGCTCCTCAGGGCGCTGCCCACATCCCTGACAGGGGGGCTTGAGCTTGACTATCCGGTAGGCGTGAGATGAACCCTTCGTGTCAAAGAGCACAACACACCAGGAGGTCATGACTCAAAACAAAATACAGTACAAATTTATTGACTCCAATTGCTCTTAGTCAAGATTTAAGCAAAGTAAACAGACAGTAGAATCGGATACAAATAAGCAATGGATTAACATTGGATAAAAATCCTATTTTACTATGAATTTTCAGTCCAAAAAACTTATTCCTAAACATAATTGAACAATGATTTACTCTGCTAAGGCAACAAAATATACAGTTATAAAATCACATTTGTTTTTCTTTTAACAATAGGCATTAATCAATGAAAAATTTGAAACAGTCTTGGGATTAATGTCAATATCGCCTTTTGAAAATTAGTGCGAACCAAGGATCACGTCGTGGAAAATCTGACGGCACCAATAAAGGACAGAAGAGCACTGTATTCAGTTATCTAAATGGTTCATAGTATAACACTTTGGTTCCCAAACAACTATCTCGAAAAGGAAACTTTTAAAAACCTGTCATTTATTCTTGCCCAGAATCAAGTTTGCTCCCCGTCACGAGGAAGCGCCTTAGGCCAGACAACACACTGAGAAGCACTGAACAGACATATCAAAAATTATGCAAACATCAAACTTCTTAAAGTGCTAAAGCCACAAGAGAAAAACCTATTTTTAAATCTTACAAAAAGCCAGTGTTAAAGGACTCATTAAAAAATAGGTTACATTATTTAAATCGGTGACACCTTTCACAATTACTGCAAAAAGCATCGAGACATCAGAAATCGATAAACTGACTGGAAATATTCCAATATTAATTAGTGCAATTTAAAGACACCTGTTATGAATGACCTGGACTACGTCTGTGATAAGAAAATGCAACCTGACCTCCTGCAGTTCTGGCAGTGACAACAGCTTGAGGGGTGCAGGCTACCCCGGGGCCCTCCCGCCTGCCCCTCCCCGCCGTCCCGTGGGCCTGCAGCCAAGGGCACCCTCACCCGCAGGGCACAGCCTGCTCGTGCCCCAGTCTCCACTCTCCTCAGCACCGGGGTGGGGGGGGGCGGGGGTTGTCGTGGGGAGCAGGTGACCCCCAGGGAGGGCTGGGCCATTTCCAGAGAAGGAGACATGCGGTGGTCACCCGCGCCAGAGAGCCGGGCCACGCTTCTCCCACATCAGAACATCACTGTCCAACGGCGAGGTGTGAATTTTGATAAAAGTATAAATGCTTACGAACTATTTTGAAGGTGAATAGTCTGTTGACCTTGAAATATGAACACTATTAAAAAGCGCACGCTGTTGGTTACCTCCAAAGCTTGCTTTGATAAAACACACGGTTTTTACGGGGTCACTCCCTCCCAGCCCAAGTGAAGAAAAGGATTCAATAACAAGGTCTCAGATTAACAAAGAATATATTAAAACATCTTACATTCTTTCCACAAATGCATAAAAAAAAGCAGGCATCCTGAATACTTAACAGGAAATAATGAGCTTTCTACACTTTCAAAAATTAATTACAATCAGAAAAAAACATTTACGAGAATATCTTTACTAGCTAAAGAGTTGCAACAATGAAAGACCAACCTGTTTTACACCAAATACTTGCCTACTGGCTGAGGTAAACATCCTTTAAAAAAGTGTTTACCGGATAAAGCAATGAAGGTATCTTTCATTTTTCACTTCTTAACATTTTAAAATAGCTAGAGGAGCGGAAGCCGACTTTATTATTTTGACCACCAAAATAAACTCTTTCAGCCTCAAGCTTTTACAGGTACAGTATAAAAAGTAATAGAAAACCAGAACTGTATTATAAATGTTTTTGGTTCAAAATTGTTTGAAATCTTATGTTTCTTGCCTAGACAAAATGTCAACTAACAAGACAAAACACTGGTAATTTTGAAAATCTAACAGATAAGCAGAGCCTATGTTTAGATCAAAAATAGTTTCTACTGATCAACATTATTAAAAAATCTTCAAAAACGTAGCATGAAGGTTCAAGTCTCGGACGCTGAGTCCCCACGGCTGAGATCCTGTGCACCGCGGGGCGGCCAGCCCCGCCAGCAGCCCGGGCAACGCAGCTCCAGGGCGGCGGCTTCTCCTGAAGAAATGAGCGCAACCCAGGCGTTCAGGTGAGGCCCAGGGTTCAGTTGAGACCCAGGCGTTCAGGTGAGGCCCAGGGTTCAGGTGAGACCCAGGCGTTCAGGTGAGGCCCAGGGTTCAGGTGAGACCCGGGTTCGGGTGAGAGCCGCCACGCCGGATGGCAGGAGCGCGCAGCCGCCCTGTGTGGGGCCGCACGCCCCAGCTTTGTCTCTAAAATGCATAGATTTCTTCAAGAAAATATAAAGATGGCAATAATTAGTAACTGCAACTTGGCTTTTTTCTCCTTTCCCCATCAAAGCTAAGAAAGAACAAAACCAAGAAGTAATCACTCAATCACTTTGGAACTTCTGATCATTCTCGAATGAAAGAATAAAAGGCAAATGTCCTATCTCGTCTCCACACTGTACAAAGTTGACCGGGAGCTCAGAGGTGCGTGTGTTTCAGCAGGAAGGAAACGCCCTCTCCTGCCACCGCGCGGGACGTGGGGAGGAGACGCGCTCTTCTCTGCAGGTGCACGATGCTAACTACTCAGTGAGTCATTTCTTACAGTAGGCGATTCATTATTTGAAAAATAGCTTGGAAAAAATAAGGTTGGAGCCTTAAACCATATCTTGAACCTTAAAAGGACTGTGTTTCAACGATATTTCTACTTTTATATATGTCACCTCCCTCCACCCCGACAATGGAAAGAAAAATTTTCCTTTTGGAAACACCCCATAGAACTCTGGATAACACGCGTTGACAGGCTTTTAGTTACAATTTATACAACATAGGAAAAAAACAAAACCAATGGACCAAAAGGAGTGGCAGCAGCTCATCTGGGCCCCCGGAGACCTCCAACACCCAGGTACGAAGCGCCCAGCGGCGACGGAGGGCAGATCGGCGTCGCATCACGATCAACTTCAAAAACTTCTAGGCGAAATCACGAGACAGGGGGGCAGGAAACCTGTGGACTGTGCATGTTATTCTTGAAAAAGCCTGGGGCGTCTCCCCTCACCATTCAAGTCTCTGGGAGGAGCTGGGATGCGGGGGGGCTGTGCGGGCTCCCAGAGCGTGGGGCTGACAGGAGAGCGAGTCCCGACCTAGTTTGTCACACGTGCTGTCAAACTCGAAACTAGCGCCAAATCGTCAGCTTTGTTTTTCTGGCCCAGACACACTCAGCTTGTCAGTTTGGAGCAGCATCAGAGAGGCCCACACGCCGACGTCCTGCCCGAGCTGGTGCGGCCGGAGCTCGACGCACAGATCAGCGCCAGGCGGCAGCTCGGGCACGCCGGGGCTGCGGGGCCTCGGAAATCGCGACATCCGCTTCCCTAGTCTCCCGTCGTTAGCTAAGTGACCCGAGCGCAAGTGTGTCATTTTATAAAAAACTATTACTATTGCTGATTTAAATCTGTCACAATTTCCATACAAAAAAGGTTCTACGGGACCACAAAATACCAAATATTTATTTTTCTCAAGTGTCAGGATAACTTATTAAGGTTGAGGTTTCTCTTTTTTTTTTTATTGCTAAAGTATTCTAAGCGCTAAGTCAACACCGCAAACTATTCCACGTCTTCCTGGTACAGCCTGGACTCAGGAACATGGCCGAGATTCGACTGGCACTTAGGCGTCCGAGACAGTCGAAAGAAGAGACACTCACTAGCCTTTCGCTGACTGCACTTCGGCAAAAAGACCAAACCAAACCACCTCAACGGAAAGATTACGCTGACACCGTGGAATGAGGGACCATGCAGGCGGCCGGCCCGCGCGCGGCTCGGGGGCGAGGGGGCCGGTCGCGGGGGCTCAGGCCCGGAGCACATGTTTTCTTAAGTTTCTCTACGTTGACTAAGGACACGACTACCGGGTATCCGTTCACCTCCGCCTTGCACTCGAGCACGACGAGCTCCAGCCTTTATTATTCTCTTTTCAAAAATACCCCGTTGCTCGCAGCAGGGGCGCCGCGGGGAGGGGGCTCTGGAGGGGCCCCGCGGCTGGGCGGGCCCTAGCTGTGGGTCTGCTCGTGGCTCCAGAGGCTGAAGGCGGTCTTGAAGGTCCGGTGGCAGAGCTTGCACATGAACTGTCTCTTGAAGGTGATGGCGGACAGGGGCGGGGCGTGGTAGAAAAGCGTGTCTGACTCCTGGGGCACAAAGAGCTGCTCGGGGGCGGCCGGCGGGTGCTCGGCGGGGCCCGTGGGGCTGTCGGGCTCCAGGGGCTGGATCTTGGGCAGCGGGGGCGGCGGGGGCAGCGGGGGCGGCGAGGGGGAGCAGGCGGGCGCCGGGCCGCCCTCGGAGTCCTTGGGGCCCGCGTCGTCGGCGGCCTGCGCCATGTGCGACTGGAAGTGGCTCCAGAGGCGGAAGTTGGTGCGGAAGGCCTTGTTGCAGACGTGGCAGATGAAGGGCTTCACGGAGCACAGCAGCTCCTGGTGCCGCTCCAGCTGCTTGTGCGCCGGGAAGGTCTTGCCGCACTTCTCACAGGGCCACAGGCCGGGCTCCCGGCGCGGCCCGGCGGCCTCCCTGGGGGCGGCGCTGGCCTCGGGCGCCTCCTCCTCCGCCTCCTCCGCGGGCTCCTCCTTGACCTGGACCTTGAGCTGCTTGGAAAGGCTGAGGTCTTCGGGCAGACAAGAGGAATCTTCCGAGTCGAAGTTCATGGGCTCCGAAGAGTCGCTGAAGGCGTGGTCCTCCTTGGCGGCCGCCACGTGGTTGGCCTTCGGGAGCTCGGGCGGGGCGGGGGGCCGGGAGGATGCGGCCACGTCCCCGTTGTGGTCCTGCGCGGGCAGAGAGGCGCTGTCGGCGGGCGCCATGGTGTTCTGGTTGTGCACCTCCACCTGGTGCCGCCAGATGCTGAAGGACGACTTGAAGGTGCGCATGCACTCCAGGCAGGTCAGCTTCCTGTGCTCGCACTGCGTCTCGTGCTCGCGCTTGAGCTCGGGCGAGAGAAACCTAAGGCTGCAGTAGGGGCAAACGGCGGCGCTTCTGCACAAGCGCTCGTGGCTTCCTTGCTCTAGGAGAGAAGAGAGCTTAGCATTACAGAGGCGGCACGGGTAAACCTCCTTGCTGCCCAGCGGGCTCTCCAGAGGAGCCTGCTCTTTCGGCTTAGCCCCTCTACTTGCTGCGGCGGGCTTTTCTCCCGGGTGCATTTTTATGTGCTGTTTGAACTGAGAGAGAAAGCGATAGGCTTTTCCGCAGTACGTACAAATGTACGCGCCTTTGGCTCGCGACCGCAAGCTCCTCTTGATGACTTGAGCGGGCGAGCTGCCCGGCCCCTGGAAGCCCGGCTTGCTGCGCCGCAGCTTAAGGATCAGGGCCTTCTTAATCTCTCGCTCTCTCACTATGTCAATCAGCTTTCTCTGGAATTTCTCATCCAAGACGGCATGTGAACTACAGGCTGGTGACGGGTTCTTCACTATGCCGTGCTGGGTCTGACAGTGTGTCCACACTTTGAAGTTGGTGTGAAAGCGCTTGTGACAGATGTCACAGGCGTAGGGCTTTTCGGGGTTGTGGTACATGTTAACGTGCCGGTGAAGGCCTGCAGTTGATCTAAAGATCTTAAGGCAATGTTTGCATTTAAATTTTTTGTTTGGTCTCGCTCCCTCCAACTCACCAAATTCATCTTTATTCAAATCAGAATCTGGAAAATCTGCGTCCAGGAGAGGGGGGCTCGGGCCCTCCTGGAAGTGGTCTTCAGACGCCGGGGACGCGAGCCCGTCCACCTTCGGCCTCTTGGCCGGCAGCCTCCGGTCCGCCTGGAACCTCCGCTTGGCCGGGAGCCTGCTCACGTCTTTCTGGTCGTCCTCCGCCTTCAGAGAAAGGTCTCTGGTGACCGCTGCCGAGGCCGCATCCCCCACAGTGACCCGGATGATGTCGGCGGGGTCCGACAGGGGGCTGCGGGGCTCCATCTTGACCCGGACCTCGGCCACTGAGGGGGTGGCCTCCCTCTCTGTGGACTGAGAGGCACTGAAGGAGCGGAGGCGGTGGGGCTGGGCGTCCGGGGGCCGGGTGTCCGGGGCCAGTTTGCCGCCACCGTCTTGTGAGGCCGGCTTTTGAGAGAAAGCACAGAGCCCGCGCCCGGGCCCGTCGCGTGCTGCCACCGAGGACGCCGCCGGGGGAGAGCTCAGGTCTATGGAGGGGGAGTAGATGGGAACCTGGCTGTCCATGGACAGCGACCGCCTGAGGAGACTCTTCACAAGCGGGCCGCTTCTGTCGATGCTCTGGCTGCCAGGGCCAGACCCGCCGGAAGGGACCACCAGGCCCAGCTTGGAGTAGTAGAGCAGGTTCCTGTCCTCGCCGGCGCCGCCGCCCTTGCCCGTCTCCTTCAGTAGATAGGGGGTCTCCGACGCGCTCCGGAGAGCCAGCACCGGCGGCCGTGGCCTCTTCAGCGCCAGCTCGATCGCTTTTCCTTTGGGAAGCGGCCCCCCGGCCCCCGACGTGTCGTCCACGGCCTCTCTTTCCTGCGGAGGCTTTGCCGGCACGACTGCATTCCTTTTCACCAAGCCGCCCCGGCTAGGCTCGTCCAGGGAACTGGCCTGCTCCAGGGGCTTCGCCAAGCCCCCGGGGCTCTCTTTCGGCCAGCTCTTGTCAGGCAGCGGCGCCCCGAGCGGTGGCTCGGCCGGCGGGGGCGCGGGGGTCCTGCTGGGGCCGAGCTTGCCGGCCGCGCTGGCCGGGGGCCGGGGGGGCGGGCTGGGATCCGGCCGGAGCTGACTGAGGGCTTTGCCCTGCGCGTCGTTCCTGCCTTGACACACGATGACGCTCCTCTGCTGAGCGCTGCTGTCGTCGTCCTCCAGGAACGCTCTTCTCCTGCTGGGACATGTCGGGAAGGGCGCTTGGGGCGTCTTCGAGACGATGTTCGTCAGGAAGGAGATGCCGAGGCTGTAGCCCAGCTCCTGCACCGCCGCGAGGCTGCCCTTCTCCACAAACAGGGATGAGGAGTAAATGTAGTTCAGGACGTTGTCGAAAGCATCTGGCTCACAAAAGTCAAGCTGGAACACCGTCTGCGCCTCGTTCTCCTTGTTGGTGAACAGACTCTGGAAGTATTCGCTGCTGGCGGCCAAGACGTTCTTGTGGGCTCGGAACTTCTGGTCTCCGACGATCAGAAGCACGTCGCACAGCTGCCCTTTGAGGCGCTCCTCATTGAGGGCGCTGAGGAGAGAGATGGCGTGTGCGGGGTTGATGTAGTGCAGCAGCCCCTCCATGGCCTGGCGTCCCTGGAAGACACAAGGGAGCACGGTCATGAGTAGCTGGCGGCTCTCCAAGGCTGGGGCCGGACCCATCTCCTCACAGGCGCCACCTACTTAGCTGCTGGGGGGCAGGCAAAGTGGGGGGTGAGCGACCTTATTTCAGTAACACGGAAGATAAAAAGCAACAAGGCCCGGCCTGGGCAGGTCGCCGGTCATCAGAGCCAGCGTGCTTCTGGAGCGAGCGAGCAGCGGCTGTGCCAAGGCCAGCCGCGCTGTGGAGGGGCGCGTGGAGGGGCGCTGTGGAGGGCCGGCATGCGGGGAGCAGTGCTCTTTCTAAATAAGGGTGCCTTCCTTGGGGTCCTCGTCCACGGGTGCTCGGGTCTTTTCCTCGCTTATCTGGAGAGCAGGACGAAGTCCGAACCCTGAAGTCTATCACTCGGGGGAGGGGGATCGGTTTCTCGGCTGGGAACACGTGAACACCACGTGCGCCGAGGGCGGGTCCCACGCCTGCGAGCACAGGAAGCACTTAGCGCCCGGCAACCCCAGCGCCCCACGGTGCTCACGAGGGCCAGCCGGCCAAACCCGCAAACAAAACGGTCTGTTCTCTCCGGGAAGCAGCTGCTGTCCACAACCCCCTTTCTCACCAAACCACATTTCAGCAGCCACGCAGGGAGCCCCGACACGCAGCCAAGCCCCTTACTGCCGACTCCACGGAGGCGAGGCCAGGCGACCTCACTGCGAGTCTCTCTACCTCTGCAGGTGACGAGGCCCCGAGGCTGGCAGGTTCTGCCCACGTGAGCCTGGGGCTGTGGGGCCCCGCCTCGCTGGGCCTCAGCGCCCCTGAAGCCCGCATCCCTGGGGGCAACGGCTGAGGGGTGCTCCCCGGGTGCTGTGCTGGGACGAGCGGGTGCCCGGCACGTGGCCAGCACTCGGTGGCCGGCCCAGGCTCCGGAAGCACAGGACCAGCGGTCAGTGCATTCAGCACCGAAGAAAAGAGTCCAGATCCACAACCCCGGTCTGGCCGCCACGGCAGAGAAAGCCACGCAGGCCACGCCGGCCTCCTCGTCCTGCCTCTTCCCAGGGCTTCCGCTACACCCGCCGCTACTGCTTTGCTTTGGTTTACACAGCACTAATTTGTTTCACATTAAAATGCTCTCAAAGTAACTAAGGCTAAGTGTGATGTCACCTCCAGAGAGCAAGTCGTGGCACCACAGGGGTGTGGGGGGCCCCACCAAGCCCACGGGCTGCAGCCCTCCAGGCTGCTCAGCCCGACCATGCCGGTGTCTGCGACACACCCCAGGCCTGCAGGAAGCTGCCCCGGGCCGGTCACACTCACTGCCCGGCTGCCCGCCCGAGGCCGAGCCCACTCCCGCCAGCGCGGCCCGTTGGGACTCTTCCCCTCGACCGCATGGCATCGCCCCTGCTCCTCGTCAGCGCCGTCAGCAGCGCTGCCTTGACTTGCGAGTCCACGTGTCAGTGCAAAGACGCCCTCGCCGCGGAGGAGTGAGCGTGCGGAAGGCCCCCCCCCCCACCCAGCAAGTGCGCGCCGAGCACTCTCCGGGTCGACGATTTCGGAGAAAGTGAGTTTTCCGTGGAAGAGCACCAGGTGCGGAATCAAAGCCGTGCACAAGTATTTCTCAAAAAAGCTTCTTAACATCGATTTAGAGGCTTTAAGCTAGTAATAAAAAACAAAATGACGAGCACCGAGCAGAAACACGTCAGACGTGGCTGGGCTTTAAGGAAGAGGATCTGGTGAACGTGGGCATCAGTCATGCACACACGCGCGTGCGTGGCCAGGCCCACCGGGGAGTGCTCCCCAGCAGAGTCAGGGCAGTAGCTGCCGGTCGCAAGAATTCAGTGGGAAGATCCTCGTGGCTGCCACTCACCCACGCCGCCCCAGGAACGCCATGGGCATCCGTTCTTTCATACCACAAAATGGCACCCGAGAAGGCGCTGAAGGAGGCCAGGGTGAGCCACAGGGATCACGGAGCTAGGGGTTCAAAGCAGAGGAGCACCCAGGCAAGGGCAGGGTGGGAGCGGAAAGTTGGGGAAGCTGAGGAAGGAGACATTGGGGAAGCAACTGGGGATGCTGGCTGGGCTGGCTGCAGGGAGAACCTCGCTTTCCGCATGAGACGGGGAGGCCCTGGGGGGTTCTGAGCAGTGCCCTGAGTGCTGTTCTGCAGTGTCACGCTGGCTTCGCTGGAGAAGGGACCAAGCGAGGCAGGGTGGCACCTCAGTCAGCTCGGCTGGGCGTCTTATGCCCGGCCCAGTGGGACAGGCTGGAGTCCGGCCCGCTGGGACTCCACTGCAGGCAGATGGCAGGGACCCGTGATGCGGCGTGGCCCAGAGAGGAGTCTGGCCTGTGATGCAGGAGAGAGACGAGGGTGCCCGGACAGGGTGGGCAGTGGCGGTGAGGCGGCCACCAGCATTTCTAAAGGATCAACTGCAGAGGAGCAGAAGGCAGGCATTAGGCATCTCCAAGGACCCTCAGCAGCAAAAGCATGTGTCACGGGCTAACTGGGCGTGAATGGCAGCCCTGGGGCAGGTGGCAGCACGGTCCTGGTTCACAGCTCAGGCCCGGGGCAGAGGGCTCGGTGCTCAGGCTGCACAGGTAGGAGGCAGTGGAGCTGGGCCTGGAGGCCCCGCTCTCACCCACCAGCACCACGCAGGGCCTCCAGCAGCGTCTTCTGATTCTCTCAGGGACACAGGAGCTGGCGCGGTCTGGACACAGAGGACACCAAGCTGACAGCTGCGGTCCTGCGTGGGAACAGGGCCTCTGCCCAGCAGCCCCGGGCAGGCGGTGGAACAGGTGGCAGCGGCGGGTCAGGTGGGAGGGAGGTCAGGAGAGGCCTTCCAGGGGAGAGGTGCGATGAGCCGGCGCGAGCAGGGGCGGGCGGCCAGCTGCAGTGTGCCCGGCCTCACAGAGGTGAGAGGGCACAGGGGCCTGAAACGCTGCTGGGGACCTGGCACCCACGCCTGGCAGCAGCCCAGGCTGCACACCCACATTCACAAACACAGCCCCGCTCACCTCTGCTGCCGCATGACAGCGGGGTGCCTGCTACCCCTCAGCCGGGTGGGGGGTGCCCTTGCACTCTTAAAGGTGGGCAGCACGGGGAGGAAAAGGTGGGCTGACGATGGGCAGAAAGGCTGCAGGAACCTCCTGGAAAGCCAGGCCGATGGGGAGCAGGGCCTAGGATCTCCAAGAGCTCGGCCTGCTCCCCCTTATGCTGTGCCCCAGGGTCTCAAAACAAGAGAGGCAGCGTGGTCACCGGTCAGGAGACAATGTGTCTCCCCAGGAGCAACTTCCCATTCTGTCTGCCCACAGGCTGGCTTTCTCGTCAGGGCTATGACCCCAAAGCCCTTTGGCCTGGTGTGCCGGTTTCCCAGCTACTAAAGCGTGGCTAACGCGCCCCACGCGGGGCTTTGAGAGGAAGGCGCGGCGTGTCCAAGCGTCTGAAAGCTCCCGGGAGAGGCAGCACCTGTGGCAGGTGGGCACAGGGGGCTAGTGCTGGGCAGCGGCTGGCTCCCTGTTCTCAGCAGCACACGGCCCCAGGGGGGGCCCCAGGGAGGGCCCTAGGGAGGACCCCACGGGTGAACGAGGCCTGCTGGAGGACCAGGCCGGCTGGAGGACGTGGCCTGGGGATCCTCGAGCTCAGGAGCAGCGCTCCAGCCAGGGCGGGGGTGGGGAGCCGTGGGGGTCAGCCGGGGACCCAGGGAGGCGGGCGGGGGCTCGTCGCTCCCTGGACAGTCACCACCCAGGGGCCTGTTCAGAGGCGCTCCTCCAAAGGTGCCAGAAGGCCCGCCCCATCCGGAAGCTCCAGGTCCCTGCCACGGCCACCCAGCCCTGCATGACTGACTCTAGAAAATGATGTCACATCCTCCCAAGTGCCCAGGAGTAGGAGGGGAGAAGAGATGATGCGACTCGGCTGCAGGGAGGCAGGAGGGCGAGCGATGAAGAGCGGCGCAGCCTTGGACCGCAGGACAGTCTGGGGTGGGGCCAGAAGTCGCAGAGCTCAGCCTCGGCCGCAGGCGCCTGGAGGGGAGCGGGCAGGAGAGGGACACGGGGAGGCCCCAGCAGCTTTCGCGTTCTGGAGCCCGGACCTCGGCGGGTGTGGAGCTCCAGCTGACGCCAAGACGAGCCCACGCGCGCGCAGGCGGGCACGCCACCCTCGGGCGCCCAGAGGGAGAGGACGGGCATCGGAGCACGCAGCACCTGCCCCGAACTCCGGGACCACAGCCCACATGCCGCTCATCCGACCCCTGGCTCGGATTCAGCGCTGGCGCCCTCGGCTTGGGCTGACTCTTGGATGGTGACAGAAGTCACTCTCGCCATTGCTCGCTCGCGTGGGGACAATGCAGACACCCGGAAATGATCCCAGCTGCTCGGCCTTCCAAGCCAGCCTGCTGCTGCTCATGCCAGAGAAGCACTGGATCCTGGCCAGCCCCGACGCCGGCATCTCCTCGGGGCCACGTCCAGCCAGTGACTCCTCCACTGGGCCACAGGGAGCCCAGCACCTGCTCGCAGCGAGGGGGTGGGCCCCGGGTCTGGTGCAGCCCCTTCATCTGCCTCTGGAAGAACTACCCTCGTCCCACTGAAGACGGCTGCGCCCCTGCCTCGGCCATGCTCAAGCACAGGCGACAGCGCCCTTCCCTGGGCGGTGGTCCATGCAGACATGGCAAAGGCGGGCCTGGCGCTCCCTCAGCATCTGTCCTTCCTGGCCTAGTCCTTCAACGCTGCCTTCACCTCAAGAGCAACCGTGTCCTTTCTGTTCAAGCCCATCACTCGGGGTCTGTGCCTGGTGCTAAGGGCCCCGGCGAGCATGCTCCCTGGAGGCGACGTCCCGCAGACCCGCCTGCACAGCACCATCTCGCCAGGCTGGCGGCCAGCATCGCTCACTTGCACCGAGGGCCGACACCCACTTGCTACCATTACTGTCAACTCATTTGACTTACACACTACTGTGCATAAGAAGACACGGCTAGATGTACCTGAAATAGGGGGTGCACTAGACAAGGCCCCCACTGTCTCATGAGGTCGATGAGATGACGAACAAGGAAGCAAAACAACTGTTCCAGACGGTGCTCAGTGCTGTCGTGGCACCCCAGGGTGCTGGGCTGGCCGCAGTGATCGGGGCTTTGGAGAGGCCGGTCAGCAAAAGCCTTGATGCGGCGTTGTAGCTGACGCGACGTGACAGCTGAGACCCAAGACCTGACTGAAGACAGCCAGCCTGGACTCTGTTTAAAAACAAAATAATTGAACAGTGGCGTGCCATGAGGCTAAAACGCAGTATTTTAAAAGCATGGAGCCCAAGGCTCTGCAAATTTGGTTCCAATGCCTCTCAGATGGTCTCACCCTTTGTTCTCCCCTGGCGTTGGCTTCCTGCTTCAGACACTGTCCTGAGACACACGCCTCCTTTCTTCCATCCCCAAGCTGGAATGTCCTAGACGCCTCCCAGCCCCTCCAAGCACAGCACCCACTGAACACAAATCAGAGCTCAGCTCAAGCTGCTGCCGCTGCTGGCAGGCCACACAGCTTGCCCCCATGGCTAAGCCCAGCCCCTTGGAACAGAAGCACGCTGCAGGTAAGGTCTTCAAGGCGACAGTAGGTTGCACAAGGTGTTCAGGGTGGGGCCCTAATCTAACAAGACTGGCGTCCTCACGAGCTGGGTCAGGACACAGGCGCAGAGGGAAGGCCCTGAGGGAAGGCAGGTCCCCCCTGACCCCACGCCTCCTCCCAAGCCACAGAGAGGCCTTGGAACAGTCTTAAGCAGCGCTGTAAGTCTGCCCTTCTAGGTGAGCAAACGGGCAGCGTGAGCCCCCAGTCCCGGACACACAGGCCAGGGTCGGCGTTACATCCTTTCCATGCTTCTTCCCACAGAACAAAGCGTGTCCGTGTTCATGTCAAAAGAACGAATTAAGCGCAAACCTACTTATCTCTGAAGAAAGCCAAGGCCCCAAATTTCTACTTTCTTCTCCCATCAGTCTTTAGGGGTGCTTAAATGCACATGCAAGGACAGTCGGGGACGTGGCTGAGGGACACTCCAGGCAGCAGAGCAAAAAGGTCAAGAAAATCACTGTCGGCGGCAGTCTAGAAGGGATTAACCCACTTTCCCGTCCGCCTGCACAAGGCGCAGACGCGGCGGGGATGACTCAGGGTCGGGCCGAGGGAGCACTCACTGGGCTACGCTGCAGCTGGGAAGGCAGTGCTCGCCCTGCACCTGGGCCCTGGGCGCGCTCCCCTCGTGCCACTGCTAGGCAATCCCGCGGGGCCCCCAGTCTCCAGAGAGCCGACACCCCAGCACCAAACGTGCTGCTTACGAAGCTGGGCGCCCCGTGGCCGGCGCGCATCGCAACCGGGGTGAGGGCTGGCAGCCAGGGGGGCCCCTGCGGGCCAGGGCTCGAGCTTTGGCAGAGGGTCGTTGAATTGGCCCCGACGCGGGTCTGGGGCTAAGGGGGTCCAGGAAGGCTCCGGGGCCTCCAGCAGCGGGGCGCGCAGCCCCCCGCCCAGCGCCGGGCTGCGGGTCCCGAGCCCCATCCAGCGGCGGCCAGCGGAGGGGGCTGTGCCCGCAGCCGGGCGCAGAGGGACGCGGCCCGCCGGGGGTCCGGGGCCACGAGTGCGCTGGGACACGGCGGGGCCGTGGGGGGCAGCGTCGCCCGCCGGGGCCGCGGGCCGGTCCCGCCAGGCGCCAGGTGGAGGCGGGGAGCAGGCCGCGGCAGGTGCGGGGTCCGCGGCCGCCCCCCGCGACGCCGCCAGCCGCCGGCCCCCGCGCCAGCCCGGGGCGCGGCCTCGCGTGCGGGGCCGACCGGCGTCCCAACCGCTGGGCGCAGGGGCGCGCCACGTCCGGCGCGTCCGCACCCCCAGGGGCAGCCCGGCCGGGCGAGGGACGCCGGTGAGGGCGCCGGGCATGCGCAGTGGCGAGGGCGAGGCCAAGTGCGGGCACGGGGCATGCGCAGTGCGGGGCACACGCGGCGACGTGGGCGCCCGGGCATGCTCGCTGGGCGCCGCGGCCCGCGCACGCGCAGACGCGCCCGGAGCCCGCAGCCGCTGCCGGAGAAAAAAGAGGGAGAAATCACCTCAGAGTTACGTCAGGAAAGGCCGCGATTTGCGGGGAGGCCGCGGCCGCCCGCCGGGCCGCGCGGCTCTCCCGGGGCGCGGGGCGCGGCGGTTACTCACCGGCCTTCGCCCGCGGCGGGCGCGGCCCCGTTCCGCTCACACTCGGCTCGCGCGCGCCGCAGCCGCCGCCGCCGCTGTGATTCCATCCATCTTGAATTTGACGTCATCCCACACCAGGGATGAGGTCATCGCCGGCCGCGCTCGTCACGTGCGCGCCGCTGTGATTGGGCGCGGGCCGCGGGGGGCGGGCGGGGGCGGGGCGGGGCGGGCCTGGGGCGCGCGGAGGCCGCCCCGCATCCGGCGCCCCCCGCGCCCCGCCCCGCCCCGCCCGCCCCCCGCGCCCCGACTCGCGCCCCGGGCCCCGCCCCCGCCCCCGCCCCCGCCCGCCCGCGGGACGGCCGCGCCCGGGGACGCGTGTCCGGAGGCGGCGCCGCGCGGGGTCCCGGGGCGCCCCGGGCGCCGCTCGGCCCCGCAAGTCGGCCGGCACCCCGCGCCCCGGCCGGCACCCCGCGGCTCTCGCGGGCGGGGCTCGGGCGCGAGGTCAGGGGCGCGCCCGCCGAGCCGCTCCCCGCCGCAGTCTTGGGGGGCGCCCCCCGCCTGTCCGCCCGGAGCCCGGGGAGCAGCGCCCGCGGGAGGCTCGGGAGAGACGCCCTGCCCGGCCGGCGCGGGGCGGGGGGCGCCCGCGGGCAGCCCGAGAGCGGGCGAGGGGCCGAGGGGCCGAGGGGCCGCCCGCGCCGAGCTGGGCTCTTGGGGCGTCTGCGCGGCCGCGGTTCTGATTCTTGAGAGCTGCGAGGGGGGCCCTTGCTCGCCCCGGCGCGCCCCGGTGCCCGCCGAGCCCCGGCCTGCGGGGAGGGTCCTGCTCCCACCGGCCGCTCCGGGCTCAGGCCCCGCGGGCCGGGCCAGCAGCGCCTCGAAAGCGTCCGCCCGGCGGGTCTGTTTGGCAGGGGGTGCTGCGCGCCCTGAGTCTGGGCGAGGGAGGCCTGTGTCCAGGCTGCGCGAGCCACAGGGGAGAGCGCCAGCGCCCAGCGGGCGGCCAGAGCGGACCTGGAAGCCGGGGTCCGGTTCTGGGGTCGTCCCCGGTGCCCGCAGCGGCGGCCAAGCCTCAGGCGCTCTGCACCCGCCCGGCTGTTTCCCAGGCGCCCTGGACCACATGCACCCCGGGGCCGCTCTGAGGCGGGTGACCTGTCCACTCCGCCTCGCAGCATCGGCCGCTTTGCTGGTCCTCATCGGGTGACGCCTCCTCCCCGGGTGTTGTCCTCCCATGTGACCGCCGGTTCTCCGCCTGCTCCTTTGGCACCGCGCACTTTGGGCCCCCAGGTTCTGACATGCCCCCCTCGTTCCATTCGGCCAGAGCGTCGACCCGCAGCCGGTGGGGCCTCTGCTGCGGGGCTGGGAACTCCGCCCCTGCGGGCCCTCCCCCTGCCTAGTGCTTCATCCCGGTCCCAGCTGGTCACCGGCCCTGCGGGTACTGTTTGCGGCCTTCATGCCCCCCAGCAGCTTCCCTGCTCCCCCATCCGCAGGCTGTCCCCTGTCATCACCCTCCCTCTGCAAAGGGCCCTTTAGAAAAGCCGCAGGTGTCAGGCCTCCGAGCTTCAGTTTGAGCTTCAGTTTTGACTGGCCCGGAGGCTCTGGGGATAATGTCCCGGCTCCGATGTGCCTGGGGGCGTTGCTGCGCCTCCTGGCCCTGCTGCCCCTCCTTGGCCTGGTGCGGGGCCTGGTGCTCCGCCTCTGTCTCCCCCAGGGCCTGCTGTGGATTTGTGCAGCGGCTCTTGGGTCGGCCTGCAGAGCTCCTCGTCATGCCCGCACGGGCCTGGCCCGCAGTGGGACTCGGCTTGGTGGCGCGCCCGACCCTGTGTCCCGAGCGGGTCCAGCACTGTGCGTGTGCGCGAGCTTCCACCCAGTTCCCGTCACTGCTCTGCCCAGCTTTTGATCCGTCGCCGGGGGGTGACCCACAGCCTGCACCCCAGGGCCCAGCTTCCCCGCAGATGGGCCGTCCCCTCCCTTGGACCTGTTCTTCCTGTCTCTGTCCTGTGAGTGAACGGAGCTGCCCTCTGTCCACCCGCGGCCCAAGCCAGAAACCCCCGGGTATCGTAGACTCTGGGTTCCTGCGTTCACCGAGGGCGTGTCAGGCCGCCTCTTCAGTGTCCCCTCCGGCCTCCCGCTGTGCCTGCCTCCAGGGTGCCGGCCCGGGCCCAGTCTGTTCTTGCTCTGATGAACCTAAGCGTGATGGGGGTTGTCCGCTCCCCACAACCCACTGCTCTGGCCACACAGGGTCTGACGGCACCTCTGGGGATGCCCCTGTCTGGTACAGCCTGCTGGCAGCCCCATGGCTTTTCAAGTGTCGCCCCGGCCCCCACTCAGTGCTCAGTGGCTCCTGGTGAAGTGTGGCCCTCGTCCTGGCCCTGGCAGAGGGTCTCTCCCGAGTTTGGTGCAGAGACACATCCCTTAGCCCCAGCAAACGAGAGCTCTGTTGCTCGGGCTGTGTCCAGGCCGCCTGCCCTGGCGGCCAGTTTTCCCTGACTGTCACCATGGTGTCTGCTTCTGTGGAATTAGTAATTCTGTAACTTGCTCCGTTTGCATTCTCGACCTGAGCAAACAGCCTTTCGTAAGTCAGGGGCAGGAGCTGCACATGGGTTAAAAATAAGCCTGCATGTTGGAAGTGGGAAGTCTGAATCAGCCGCGAGCGCTCGGACGTGCGTCTCCATGTGCGGATTCGCCAGCCTGTGGGGAGGGCGGGTTGTCTCCGAAAATAAGCTCGGGGTGGAAGGAGAGGCGGCCTGTCCTGCCCCTGCTGTACAAACCGCCCCCATCTTGGTCACGTCGGGAAGGCGCCCTCCACGGCGCTGGCGGCCGGGGTCTGAAGTCCACTGGGCTGACCAGGCTGCTCTGAGGCCCCGGGGAGAGCTGGCTCCTGCCCGCCCCTCAGGCGCCTGCTGATGCCGCTGACGCTGACGTGCTTGGCTCACCGCTGCTGAGGCCCGAGGCGTGCCCCCTCTCCCCTGGAACGGGTGGGGGGTGGGGGGGCTGGTGTTTAACCCCCGGTGACCCAGGCCCGTCTCCCAGCTCAGGCGCTTTCTCTGCATCACAGCTGCAAAGTCCACTTTCCATACGGGGTCACGTCTGGGTTCCAGGAATTAGGGCCCGGAATCCCTGGAGACTGTTTAACTGGCTGCAGGTGCAGACGGTCTGGTCGTGCGCGCGTGGCGGGGGGCGGGGGGAGCAGCGCGGGATGCAGAGATGCAGAGGAGGCGAGAGAAGGGCCGGGCGGGGGGTGGGGAACCAGTCCATGAAGGACCTTCCCCCGAATAGCCGTCTTGCGCCTCTGGCGGGCCGGGCGCCCTGAGCTCGCCCTCTGTCGGGTGGGGCGGGTGGGCTCAGGTCACTCCCACGGGGCTTGCCTGAGTGAGCAGCCCGCTCCCAGCGCTGCCCCCGGGAAGGGGAACCCCGGGCCCAGCTGCCTTCCAGGCAGGAGCAGTGTCTGCCCTGCGCTTCCCCCTCCGAAGGGCCGTGCCTGACCCCGTCGGCACCAGCACTCGCCCGTCGGCACCAGCGACCTTTGCCTCGAGCCAGGGTGGGAGAGGACAGGGTCAGGGAGAGAGAGAGAGACGAGTGGCCTGGGTGGCGGGTCCTCACCCACGCGCCTGCGAACACAGGCCGTGACCTAGAAGCAGGCACGGGGGGCGAAACAACGACGAGGATTTATTCACACGGGGAAGAGCGAGCGGGAGAGGAGAGGAGCCGCAGGCGGGCGCGTGTCCAGACGCCGTCTGTCCCTCCCCGGGCAGCGTCTGCTGGGCAGAGACCCAGGTCCAAGCTGAAGCCACACGGCGAGCTGGAGACCTCGCCACAGACACCCCCTCACGCGGTTTAGGTGATGAGACCCACAGCTTACCTGCCCAAAGCCAGCTCTGCCCCTCAGGATGGCAGGGGTGGGGTCTGGAAAGCTCCACCTGCCTGCAAGGTGGCCATGAGCGCCACCCGCCGGCTCGGAGCTTGCGCCTCACGTTCCGCTCACGTGTGCCTGCGCCCGTGCTGTGCTTATGTGTACACGTGTGCAGGTGCACGCGTGCCGCACGTAGCGCGATGGGTTGCATGTCATGCGTGCACACGTGCATGTGTGTATGAGGCGTGGGGACGTGTGTACGCGCTATGTGTCAGTGGCGTGTGCCTGTATGCAGACGCGGCCCAGGGGAGATTTCTCACGCGCGATTCCCTCGGCTGCTCGCCTGCCGGCTGTGAGGCCTGGCGCTCCCGTGGTGTCTTCCCCACGGCTCCTTGACGGCCGGTTCTCTATGATCAGAGCAGACGGGTGAGGAGGAGTCCTGGAGCCCTTGGTGGCT